GTGAAGTATGACAGCATACATAGTTTGTAATGTGTGTTTCAGTTCTTTATCAATAACACCGACTGATCGCTGAGAATTAATCTCTGGGAAAGACTTTAATCCTCAATTAAGAGGAGATCTAAGTATTTTTAGGAATCTGGTATTACTTCATATCTGTCGTACATGACATAGATCTTGAATTTCCTTCATTATGATCTTAAAAAGGCTTGAATTTGCAGAAAAGGGATACAGCTCTTGTGTTTTTACTGCACACCCCTCCACCTTTGCACATAATTCCCAGTTTGTCACAGTGTTGTCTTTGACCAAGTTTTAACTCAGCAGTCGTGACATCCTCAGAGTTTTGGCTGCAGACTGATATGCCCCAGCGCAGTTTGGGCTCAAGTCGGCACTGAAGTGGGGAGCGTGCATCAGGCTTCTGTACAGCGGCCAAATCTGTTGGCTGCTATTGATATCCCATTTCCTCTGTCTCTCCTAAGCTGCTTTGCATTCAGATGTCCTCGCACTAAGCCCAGAGTGTCCAGCCTGTGGCCTGCAAAACTCTCGATACGCCCGTGCAGACACACAACCATCGCTGAGCCTTTTATTATGCAGGAAACAAAAGCGTAGCGAGCGCCACACTGGGAGTCGTCCAACCCTAACATGTCAATTGTGCCTCTTTTTTATTAGGTGGGATGCAAACCAATTTGGCCATTGCCGTTAAATTCCTCATTAATTCCCCTTTTGAATGTCCCGAAGCCGACATAATGGGTTTTAGAGTTGGCAGAAGATTGCAGGAAAAGAGGATCAAAACGCGGGAACAGAAGACCGGACAATTCAAAACCTCCTGTTGAGCTTATCGCACATTCGACAGCAGGAGCTCGAGATAAGGTGTTGAGTTATGGACTCAGACGGCGTGTGTCAGCAGTGAAAATGGAGACGAAATTTTAAAAAAGCCCAAATGCAACAGTAGCTTTCAGCATTGGAGATTCACAGCACATTCAGATTTAGCTCTCATTGGCCTCACATTGGGGGTTTTTTCAGGGTAAAGTGTGTTTGAGTCCGGGAAGCTGCTGTTTGCTCTGTAATCACAAACACATACGCAGGCACACTAAGACAATATCACAGTGGCAAGGGTGTATGAATATAAAATGTAGTACTGGGGAACATAAAAGCAATTATTTCTTGTTTTCATTATCCACTTGAACGATATTTGCAGGTCGTGCCTTCGCTTTCAGACGCTGTTTCCACGTCCTAATGCTGCGATTTAGAGGATTTTTAGTGACAGCTTTGCTTTAATCAGCTGCTGCCAAAAGCCACAAGTGACAGAGGCGGCCTCTTGTTTTCCCCTGATAATCATTAACTCTGTAATATCAGAGCAGGCAGCGTGAATGCAAGATGTCCTGTCTCACATTCATACCTTCGAAGAAGACAATACACATTACAGAGTATTTCTGCAAGAGCGTTTCATTTCTCTTATTCCCTCCCTCGCTGACTCACGCACACACACACACACACAAACACACACTCACACACACACACACACCCTCCCAAATCAAGGTCACCCCACCCTGCACTAAAGACTGCAATCAATTATCTGGTGCAACATTAAAACGAGACTGAAACTCCCACATCACTGTGATCTGAGCTTCCTGCTCCATCTTACAGAGGTCACTCTACTGTAAAGACAACAGAGCAAATGAGTCAGGTCTAAATCTAAATATGATTTAACTGTAATGTGGAATAACAAGGAGCTGTACTTGTTAATTAGTTAATTGGTGACTTTTCTTCATTATTTGTTTGATTATATGCACAAATCATTGTTTTTGTTGTGTGTCCGTCCCTCTCATATACTGTAGATATTCTATATGTCATAAAGATATTATATATGTCATGTTGATATGGTCAAAGATCGCTGTGGCCTCAGAAAACACAATTTTAATCCAGAGAATCTTTCAAATTAGGTACAAATGTTCTCTTGGACTCCAAAGACGAACTGATTAGATTCTGGTTGTGAAAGACCTTGTGAACGCAATATCTCTCAAATGCAAGTAGAGATTTCTCTGCTGCTTCAGGCTTGATCTTTAAATGTGTCTCTTGCCAGTAGGGCGGCATGGTGGTGCAGTGGTTGGCATTTGCACCTCAAAGCAGGAAAGTTTGAATCCTGGTCTCTCTTCGTGTCTGCATTGAATAGAGAGAAGCAGCAGATCCTCACATTTGACAAGTGAAGACTGTTGCTTTTACTTGACAAGTGACTTAAATGATCAATCATTCATCAATTGTTGTCAGGTTGATTTTCCGTCGATCGATTGATGAACTGTCGGAGCACTCGACAGGATCAAAGTGTCGAAGAGGCGTCTCATCTTGAAAAGCTCGGTGTCTACCTCGCTCTCTGTGGCCTGTCGAGGGCTGGGAAGTGTTTGATCACTGTAGCCGTCCACACAGAGGCCATGGACCATGTGGAGTCTCGGAATCAGTGCGCGGTGTAATGAGGCAGCGACCAGCTCAGTATGAGGTCACTAAATTGACTTCCTGGGGAGTTACATCCAAAACACTGCAGCACTTAATGCCAGTGTACTGCAGACTGTTTCTCCCCCCACTGCTTCCTGTCCGTCTTCCTCTGTCACTGCGCTGTCATGACAACCGATTCAGATTAGCATGTCGTTTACATTAAGCCCTGTGAACGGGCCTTAATGCTAATTGTAATTACTACACATTCATGTTTTTTCCTCCCTTTTTTTAGTGTTAATACCTGTTTTTACTGCAGAATATACTGCAGTCAGACAGGCACAGTCATACTAGTAATTCAGTCCTACCTGTATACACAAGTAATGAGGGTGAATATACACATATGAACCATACACTGCAATTGAAGATGGACGACACATCTCCACTTCCTCCCTCTATTTAGAAATATAGCAAAAATATCCTGATACAAACGTTACCATCTTTTGCATGTGGTGCACAGATGTCCACCTCTTTATGCAAAAACTCCAGTGATTTCACCTCCCATCATGCAGCAGTGCACTTGACTCTCTACCCAGACTGTTGAATCTGTGTCTTCTGCTTTGGCCATGCTCAACTAACCACTAACCACAATTTAACAGTGATTTTACCGAATATTTCCTCCTGCAAGAACTTTATCACCTCCCTCTACAAATGTGATCTAACGCCTCTGATATTCTGTCGGAGGTGTAAAACATTCAGGAGAGGACCTCTGCAGAGCGCTCGTGTAATTCAGAGACACAGCGGCATGAAATGACATGGCCGTCTTTCATTTTGCTCGTGGGGTGGGAGTTGTAGTTCTCGGGACTTTGTGAGGTGCATCACCCAAAGAGGATATCGGTTAATCTGAGCTCCAACAGAGACAGACAGAGGAATTAACCGATGGAGCCACCTATGGAAACAACGGAGGTGGGGAAAAGGGTGATGTGCAAACAGGAAGAAGGGAAAGAAGGGGAGAGAGGTCAAGGAGAGGGGATGAATATGATGCTTTAGTGATTTTGTGCAGGAGAGAGTGAGGAGGAGTGGAGGCCAAGGAGATTGAGTGGCTTTAGGAAGACTGATTGTGGTGGAAGCTGTCAGTAAGTTAGAGGTGAGCTCTGAGGAGAGGAGAGGAATACTCCACCCTGCTGGGAAAGAAAATGACAGAGGAGAGAAAATGTGGAGGTTGTTTAGGATGATGTGAGGAAAGAGCAAGCGCGTGTGGGGAGACCTGAAATGAGAGAAAAACAACAAAAAGCCAGAGGGATAGAGAGCAAGACAAAGGAAGACGCGCAGGGAGGTAGTGAGACATATAAAGATGGATCAAGCAGCCACTGGAGTGGAGAAGCGGAGAGTGATTGAGGGGATGGAGAGGGAGGGAGGTGTGGAAAAGCAGCCATGATGAGATGGATTCTACTGGACCGTGAGATTGATGACTCTGCTCCACAAAGAGAGGGAAGAGATAGTGGAAAACGAGGGGAGGAAGGAGAGAAAAGTCCTGATGAAAAGAACGGAGTGCCCCCGCAAGACAAGAAAAGAAACTGATAAAAGAACGCGGGAGTTTTTATCTCAGCCCTTCCATCTGAAAACACAAGCAGCATCTCAGTATCTCTAATAGGATCTATTGCACTTTTTTGCTCATCATCAGTTGTGCATGGAAAATAAAACTTATTTCTGCAGAATAAGAGCCGCGCCGCTGCTGCATCACAAGAGATTATGTGCAGAGAAAAGTCGGTTTGAAAAGAAGGATTAGATGTAGTTCGGCTTTTTTGACACCGAAGAAAACCAGCGAATTAGTTTTCCGTCACTGCCTCTGAATGCAAAGTGAGATTTAAATACCTTGGATACAATAAACGCAGAGTTTTTTTTAAACATATTCCATATTTAGAGCTGAAATTCAGCCCCTTATGGTCCGTGAGTGTGACCAATTAGAGCGATAATTCTTAGCGTTGCCGGACTTCTGCAGGGGCGCCTGTCCAGCTAACGAAGGAGCGGCTTGTTACAGGGTAAAATATGTAAAATCCACATTCGGGTGCCGACTGAGGTAGAGAGAGAGAAGATGGGTGAGGAGGGGAGTAAAAGGGGGGGGAGTTGAGACCAAGAGAATGAGAGGTTGTGGATATTAATCTTCTCTCACGATAACGTTTAACTTTCACCTTCTCTGTCGTCTCCCTCTCCTCCTCCTCTCAGGCTGCCAGATTGCTTATGATTTGCCAGCCTGTGTCTGTTGGAGGAGGGATAAGACGGAGATGAGCAGTGTTTGCAAACACAAAATGGTCGGAGCGGAGGAGAGAGAGTAAAGATATTCACTTCTTATCAGAGGCGCTGTTGGAGTGATCCGGAAACTGTGGCCTGGTCCACCAGTGGATGGATGTTCCAGGTTGTGAAGAATGCAGAATAGAAAATATTGTTAAATATATCACATGTCTTGCTGCCTCTCCATGAAAACTAGTTAAAAGTAGGTTTATGTCACTGCTGCCGTCTACATTCACAGCTTTGATTAATGCTGCCTCTGTCTGTGCTTTCTCGTCTTCTTCCAGATGCACTGAGCCCTGAAACCTTGGTGCCGGCTGCGATGGGACACAGTAAGGCCGTGGACACGATGAGAATCCTCTGCAGCGTTCCCTCTCAATCACAGCAGCATCTGTAGACAGTAGATTGGTCCGTTATCTGACCTTAATGTCAGCCGTGTTGCCGTGGCAGCCTCAAGCTGCACCGCCGGATCAACCCATGGAGGCGTGGCCTGAACACCCCCAGCACCGCTGCCCCTGGTAAGACCAGCCACATGAACAGCGATGCCTTCTAAGGTCTCCTGCCTATACCTGCTGACAGTGGTTTGTTGGGCCAGCGCTCTGTGGTACCTGAGCGTGTCCCGCCCCTCCACGTCCTATGTGGGACAGCTTAATATCCCCATACGCACGGCGCCCAAGCTGGGCAAGAACGCCACCTTCGGCAACATCCGCACGCGCACGCTCAACCCGCACGACTTTGACTACCTCATCAATGAGGAGAAGAAGTGCGAAGCGGAGCCGCCCTTCCTCGTCATCCTCATCAGCACCACTCACAAGGAATTTGACGCCCGTCAGGCCATCAGAGAGACATGGGGGGACGAGAGCACGTTTCCCGAGGTGCGCGTGGTCACGCTCTTCCTGTTGGGACGCAGCACCGACGCCATTCTCAACGAGATGGTGGAGCAGGAGAGTCAGATCTTTCACGACGTGGTAGTGGAGGATTTTATTGACTCTTACCACAATCTGACGCTTAAGACGCTGATGGGCATGCGTTGGGTGGCCACGTTTTGTTCCCAGGCTCAATATGTCCTGAAGACGGACAGTGACATTTTTGTCAACATGGAGAACCTCATCTACAACCTCCTGAAGCCCACCACCAAGCCCAGGAGGAGGTACTTCACTGGCTATGTCATCAATGGTGGGCCAATCAGAGACATGCGCAGCAAGTGGTACATGCCCAGGGATCTTTACCCCGAGAGCAAGTACCCGCCCTTCTGCTCCGGCACCGGGTACATCTTCTCAGCTGACGTGGCCGAGCTCATATACAATACTTCGTTACACACGAGGCTGCTGCATCTCGAGGACGTGTACGTTGGCGTGTGCCTCCGAAAGCTCGGCATCCACCCCTTCCAGAACAGCGGCTTCAACCACTGGAAGATGGCCTACAGCCTTTGCCGCTACCGCCGCGTGGTCACCGTCCACCAGATCTCGCCCGAGGAGATGCACCGCATCTGGAACGACATGACCAGCAAGAAACACCTGAAATGTTAGTAGGACTGTTTGCACTCGCACCAGCGGAGGAGTCTGGGAGGATTGAATTTCATTAACTGTTTCTCCGCTGGTCAGCCCTGAGCTGAAGGAACATTGTTGACGAAGAGTCCGGGGCTTTTTTCTGCCGCAGACTTGCTTTGTCAGGAGTGTCTGCAGCTGCAAGGCCACAAAAAAACCTCTGCATTACTCCGTGTTCTCCCTCGTTTCAAGGTGCTGCTCAGCTCAGACTCTCAAATTGCGTCAAAGGTTGGATTCGTTTTCAAAAAAATGTGCTAAACCATCATTTTTACAGGAAATTACCCCACAGCAGCAATTGTCCCCGGTTACCATACATTAGATTTAAAATAAACAGCAACACTTAAAGTTGTCACCTCACGAGCTCCTAATTATGAATGTTCCTGTGTTTTCAGTCGATGTACTAACTGAACGAGGTGTTGATGTTGGATGTACTGTCTGGCAGCGCGTCACGAGGACCACGCTGAGTTCACGGTGTGAAGACTCGGCTGAAACATGTTGTTCTCACTCCGTGGTATTGATGAGCCGACCTGTTTGCCTCTGTAATATTTCAGAATTAGACATATTTTCTTACAGCAGAACAACCCTGGAACATTTCTTCAACAAGTATCTGGAAGACGTGAAGATGTCGGCGCTCACATTCCCAAGTGAATGTTACTTCTGTGACCGTGTACAGTGTGATTCGTCTCAGGCGCTGCAGTGTGCTGTTATATTTTCTATTACTTGAACATGAAGAACAGATTCACCAGTGGGAGAGTGTGCTGAAGACAAATATCACACTTTGGAGTGCTTTCTTCTTTTCAATTACTTGAGATTAAATAAAGCGCTTTTATAAGACTTGATATTTTATTTATTACAGAAAACCACATAAAAGTTTTTATTCCAGTCGGTTTGATATGAATTCCCTGTAAGTTAATACACCCACGTGCATGTTGGGAAACTTGATTATACCCTGAAGTGTTTCTGCAGAAATCAAAGTGTCTCATCAGAAGCGCAGCTGTGCTCGGTTTAAAGCGAGTCGCAGCTCTCGATGCGTCACAGACGTGCTGCTGAAGCTTCTGCGTGGCGAACATCACGTCTCAGCAAGAGGAAGCACTGAGGGGATTGTGATGTCAAAATAAAGTGCATACAGTTTTCAGCACGACTTATAGGTTGAATTAGGTTTTTTTTATTATAGAAAATGTAAAAAGAAATATTTATTTTTCCCATTTTTTTTAAAGGGCTTCAGAATGGAGAATGTGTTCAAAACAAAACCACAAGATGACTGCTTTATTGTTCCAGCACTTCCTTCACCGCAGTGATAATGGGCTCAAGCACAGGTAACAGTCGACAATAGTTTAAATTGAATTCAGTTTTGCTTTCAACTAATTGATTTTATGTGGTAGTTTCAAAACAAAGAAAGTAAAATATAGCTCTTATATATATATTAACGTGTGTGTCTGCAACGTGATGCAGAGTGCAGACAAATCAGCACCTTGCAACATCCAACTATAATTAGGTGGCTCAGCCTCTGATGCCTACAGGTGTGTGTTTGTGTGTGTGTGCACGTTGGATCTGTGAGCTCTTTGTTCCAGCATCATCATCATCATCTGACAGAGCAGCAGCACAACTCCTCTGGGACTCTGGGAGAAATGAAAAGTGTCTTCTGTTCTGTTCTTGCAAAGATAAACATAAAAATGTGGAAAGCACTTGTGGCGCTGCTCCGTCCTCAAACTGTTTCACTCGGAAATCTGGTGGGAGCTTGTCGGCAGAAAACACAACCGCGTGGTTACGATTTCTTCATAATAAAACAACTCCCAGATGGCGTCTTTACTTCAAATGCGTCTTTTTTGATCTGTTTTTGCAGCTGAAATATAATTGAAAACGTTTTATGGAAAAGAACTGCCACAGTGTGTCGTCAGTTAATGGATTTATTTTTGCACGGTAGCACATATGTGAAGTAATTGTTATTCACAGCCTCTTATCTTCACTGCTGTCTTTTGCATTCCCCTGATCACGCCCTGCAGTGGCACATGCAGTTTGAGACTGTGTGGTGAGAAATAGAACGTGTGGACCCAGTGGTGGAGCATTTAAAGGGCTAAAGCTCTGGGAAAATGAAAAGCGAGTGATTATTCCGGGGCTTGTGCTAAATGAAACTCATAATGAGCGAGGCGGAGTGCTCGACGAGTGGGAATGCTCCGATTTCTAAACAATCCTTTGGAAAACAGGCCGGTGAAGCTCAGAGTGGAAATACAAAGCTATCAGGACCTTGAGTTGGCGGGAAATCCTCCGTAGACCAGAGCGTCTGATTTTGGTTCGGCCGCTTACAACGTCTGATGGAGACGGCCCCAGGATCAGGACACAGCTATTGAGTCTTTCATTAAATTAAAACAAATTTGAATTCTTCAAGTAGATACCTCTAAACAAATTCATTATTTATCACTCTGTTTTCTCTCAGGTCACCTCGAGAACGACCACCAGCTCAGATCGACACATTGTGTTCCTGTAAATGTTCCTTCTAATTATTAGAATAAAAGCAGATAACACTGAGGTAATTTACATTCACTGCTCAGCACTGCAATTTCTCAAACTGTCACTCATCTGTGGCTGTTGATGGCCGCAGATGTGGGTCAGTTGTTGGTGGACGCTGCAGCCAGAGATGCTCATTACTGCTAATAAAGCTCCAGACAGCTGAGGAGGCGGCACAAGAGGCAGGTGGAGCCACAGGATGTGGAGTCACAGCGTTATAGTGATGAATTAGTCATATTTACTTCCTGCTCTCTGAGACTGAAAAGGTCAAAATCACAGAATCGTTTTCATCATTTAGGACTGAAATTTAAATTTGTTTTGAAGTGACTCCTCTGCAAAAACAAATCAGTGACTCTGATGTGACTCATTCCACATGTCCTGCAGCAGGACTTTAACCCTAGCAACTCCGATACGCAAAGCAAAACTTAAATATTGATATCAGGTAATCCCGTCCTTGCTGGTGACAGCACTTCAGCAGCATGAATTACTTTCTGCCATCGGTAACAGATAGATGGGATTTAAATAGGAAGCATACATCAGGGCGTGGGGCAGGGGCGCCACGAGCGCTTGACAGAGATAAGTGTGACAGCCGGGCGGAATTTGAATTGCAGGAGCGATAAATTAACTCTTAATGGCGTTGGACAGAAGCCGATCTCTTGGAACCGGTGGATTCTCAGAGCTGAACCTCACCTTATTCCTACAGCAGCAGCTTCATATTTATGACCTGCTGCACGCTGGGGCAGGAACATTTGCATGTGTGCATGAGAGCGGAGTCTCATAAATACCTGATGGGCTGGTGAGCGTCCACATCATTTGATGCAGAGGCAGGTAGAGGAACAAGGTGTTCATAACAGCCTGCTCTGTTCTTGATGTCAGTCCTTTTTATATTTGAGCGTATACCTGGGGAAAGTGTGCAGCTCATGTTTATCTGTCCTGGAGGCAGCGTGGAGAGGGTCTGTGAGTGAGTCTGTTTCATGTGATCCTTGTATTCCTTGTATTCCGCTCGCATCCAGTCAGCGCTGCTCGCTCAGCCGCTCCAGAGGCACTGAGGCAGTTCGGCAGTTTACGGCGTTAGACAGGGTCGAGCAGTGACCTTTTTTATGCCTCTGCACCGGCGACAGCCAGCGGCCAGAGGGATGATGTTTCCTCGGTGTCCATCTGTTCTTTTCTGTCCACACAATATGTCAAGAACGTCATGAAAGTTGGTACAAACATTAATTTGGACTGAAGATGAACTGATTAGAATGAGGTGGTCAAAGGTCGAGATTTCTGTGACCTTACTCAACATGTTTTTGGTCTTGTGAACGCAGCATCTCAGGAATCCCTTCAGGCAGTTTCTCCAAATTTGGTACAAGTGTTGAGTTGGATTTGACGATGAACTGATTCCATTTGTGTGGTTGCAGATGTGTCCCATTTGGAGAGCTTGATGTCACTATTGCGTCTGTCTGTTAAATATTAGCCTGATAAATATTGAGCTAGAGGCAGAAGAGGATTAGAACCAAATTGTCCAAGCAGCAGTAACTGAACTTCTCTTCTTCTGAACTTTCTTTTTCTCTGTTCGATACAAAAGCTTTTCTTTCTCTTTCACTGGGTCATTGACTTTGATTTAGTTCCTTCAGCCCACTGCACAAAGACTTTTAACATTGATTCGACAGGTTTGCTTACTTTAACATCTCACGCATCATGTGCAACGGAGACCTGAGCTGCTTTGACTCTAAGATTCTGTAGTGGACTAAACATGGGGCTTTTTCCAGTCATTAGCTGCAGCCCACACCACTCTGGTGAGGGCCCGTGGGGAGTAATTGCCTCATTTGGGATGTAATTAATCTCTATTAAAACCGCATCCATCTTAGGCCGTTACCTCACCCACATCTCACACACAATTTTGCGCTTCACAACACAAACCGCCGGGAACACGCCGGGAGATACAGAGAGGGAAAAGGTTGAAAAGACGCTTTCCTGCTTTCCAGGAGGGGAAATGAAGAGGTTTAAAGCACGGAAAGAAACTGCAGTGGAGATAAGTGTCCGAAAAAGAGGTAGAATCTCATTTGTGCAATTCTGTTTTCAATTTAGCTGCATATTTGACAGATTTCTCTCCTTTTTCATTCACTTCTTCCCCTTGATTTCTCTTTCTCTCACCACCTTTCCTTATCTTTCTCTGCCTCTGATAGTCTAAGCTGGGCTTAAGCTTCCATCTTCTCTCTGCCTCCTTCCCTCTCTCTCTCTCTCTCAGTTCCTCCGTCTGCTGCTGTTCTTACCGCAAGGCCCCAGAAATCCTCTGCAGATGCCTGAGAGACCGACTGTTGACAGACAACACGGCTTTAAATGTGAAAACAAGGCTATTTCAAGCAGGGATTGCATGAATTCATAGGCAGATGTTTTTCTTTGCACTTGTTTGACATTTTTCTGCAAACTTGTCAACACAAAAGGCTTTGTGAGGGAAGCGCGGAGGAAAATGCAAACATTTTGTGCCTGTCACAGTGACAGCTTTCATCTGGAGATGTTGCTTATGCACATGGACAAATATAACACTAAACTTCTCATGTTTCCTAATTGCCACTAGCTCCCTGCATTTGGAGCTCGTTGATAAATGCAGCAACACAGACAGAACAATGACGTTAATATTCAGGCCGACATCAGTTCAGTTATTCTCCAAGTAAAAAGACACTTTTATGTGAAATTACCTTCAGCTCCAATAAGATAACACAGTTTCAGAGATAACTTCATCAGACAGAACACCACCGTGAATCCCAATCACATTCCAGCTGGACCCTTTCAGAGAAATCTATTTTCCCACTTATCTGACTAAACGAATATCATCGTACCTGCAGCCATCAGCTCCATCTTTGTAATTGTCCTCTTGGAATGCAGCAACAGTCAAATGACAAAAACATGTTTCACATCCATATTGTACGATGTAATGTGACGCTTATGTTGCCAGGTGGAGAATTTGAGGTGTTTACAGACCTGCAATTCAGATTTGACTTATATTTTATCTCGTCTGAACCAGGCATTTTAGAAGCCAATCTTTTTATTTTATTTCTTCTCTTTCTTCGCAGCATTTCTGTATAATCTGCTCCATGCTCCGTTTCTGTGCCAGCGCTTGATTTGCTCTAATTAAATGGGACTGACACTGTTTACGCATTAGAGAAGAACAAAGATGCGGCTGATTCGAACAACAAAAGACAAATTATTCCAACCACTTTGCTTTAGTTAATCAGTGTCTGCCACAATCCTCATCTCTCCCCAACCTGGAAATATCATGTTTTTATCGGCAGGACCGTTCTCACTTGTTACTGAGTCAGAAAGTACCAAACCAGATATTTGTGAAAGTTCCCTGAATCCCTTTGTACCGGATTCTTTTTCTCAACCATTCTCAGCCACTCCTGCAATTAATTAATCCCCCTCTCACTCCTAGTCCGATGAGCTTGTTCTGTTTGCAGTCCTTTCCATCAGTCACACAAACGCAGACACTCACTGACAATGTGAAGCCTGAAAAATCCTGTGTCAAATCCAGCTTCATGGAAGAATTCAATCAAACTTCAAGTGTCCAGCTGAGTGATGGCGGCCGTTACTCAACTCAAGGTTCTTTGGATGCGACGTTTAGAAGAAACAGACTCTCCCTCTGGCTTCCTCATCTCTCCAGTCGGTTCCAGTTTACGTAAAACAGGACAACTTCGTCCCAGCGCTCTGGAAGATCATCAACGATGAAATTAAGTAGCGGTGGTCCTGTGTCAGCGGGGGATGTGACAGCTCGGGCTGATGGGAGATAATCCCAGGACACGTTGACCCCTGCAGAGAGAATTTCTCCAGGCTCCGTGATTATCGTAACCTTGTTAGACGCCGCGTGTGAATGATGTCATCGTCTCTTCCCACCACACCCACCACCCCGAGCTGTATCGACTCTAGGAAGGAGAGTGCAGCTTTCCAAATCATGACAAATCACCCTTTACCAGCGGCTGAAGCACCTCAGGGGGCTGGAACAACAGTGTCACCTCGGATGAGGAAGGAGGCAACTCACCAACACAGAATCATTGAACCTGGCGACAGCTTTTACTTTCATGTGATCACGCCACTTTATTCATCGCGCTCTTTGAGGCTCGTCAGGCCCAACAAAGTTCCCCACTTTAATCTGGTTTGTTTTCATCTTGGTTTTTTAGGTGCAACTCTGTTTAATCCCCTGATTTTCAATTTCATGTTTTGACATTTGTGTTTTTAACCTGTTTTATGTTGCATTTTGCTTTTGACTGCTGGTTAATGAAAAATTAGGAAAACAGACCACACTCGCTTTCATGCATCTCGTCTCACTCGAGCAAATAGGCACAGGGCAGTAATTGCACGCTGCCAACAGCATGAACACACGTGTTATTATACCTCATTGTTGTGCAGAAGCGAAAGGTTATTGTTTTCAAATAATAACTGTGTTTAATCATGTACAAATGATTGCGGCTCAGTGGTTTCTCCTGCAGCTGCCTGACTCCCCATCCTGAGATTCTCTTTGGATTGTGATCTCACAATAGCTACTTTCAGACGTGAACAGAACTGAGTAGCCATCTGTAAGAAAATGACAAAGACGTCAACTTGGAAAGACAGCACGTTATTAGAACTTGGATATTTTGTGTTTAAGGACTTTAACCTTGTTAAATTCAGTGCACCCCACCTTCCTCTTTCATTAATTACCTTCTCCGCCTCAATTAGCTCCTCCTGTGTGTCGTTAACTGTTTGTGTTCAGTTTGTTTTGGCTCCTTATGAGACCTCCAGGTTACTGCCAACCTTTCCATCTAAAAGTAAGTTGCTTGATATGTCCTTGTCTGCACACACATTCTAGTCAAAACAAGTTTTTCTTCACCCTTGAGTTAGTTAAATTAATTAAAATTCACAACCACATATGGTTCATGTGGTTTGATGAAGTTTTTTCTAGGTTCATTAACACTGGTGGCAAAGTGCGGCCATCAGCCTGCAGGAAAGTGCTGCTGTTTCTGCACAGAAATGGTATTTCTGCAAATTGCATGTTTCATTATCAAAGGTACAGCAACAGACGGCGTCTTGGTTTGGTCGTACTTTGAAGTCAGTCGTTTGCGGCTCACTCAGCGGGACTCTCAAAGCTGCGTAGCTCGACGAGCATCAGGCAAGCTCAGGTTTTCTTCCAAGCGTCACTCTCAAGGTCATTCATGGCCTGGTTTACTGAGAAACTATTTGCTAATCCTGCTAATCTGCTTCTGTTCAGGGACTGTATCTGATTGAGAGTGTGCTTGCAGACAGCACAGTATTTAGGCGGCAGCACGTGTTATCCTGAGTCATTTCAAGGGGATTGAACGAGGGGATGTGTGAGGAAGTGAAGCTGAAGTGAGAAAGAGGGATGCAACACATCACACAAGGTTAAAGATGGTCATCCTGCGCTCCAAGGAGCAGCAGGTGCATGGACAGAGAACATCCTCTGGTTTGAAGACGACACATTACGCCTCAGCATCACCCAGTTAATTAGGAAATGTGCTCTTCCACCGAGCAGCATCCAAGGTCAAGGTGCTGCATGTGGCTCTTTGTGAGATCAGATCCTGATTGGCCGGCACATTCAGAGGATCCCGGCTTTCATCCTCAGCCCATGTGGCCGCACGTTCATCGTCTGAGGAGGGCCGTGCACGCAAACTTTTTTTCTAAATGCCAAATGACACATTAGGGAGGTTTGCTTCACATCCATGAGACAAAATAAACACACTGAGCTTGTTATTTAGAAACTTAAAGGTGACACAGGTCTAATAAAGAGGAAAACAAAAGTCTCCATCAAGCACAACCTCAAATTACCGCTTCATTGTCTCAGTCACAGATAAACTCAGCCAGTGCAGCGCTATATAATTTATCTCTTGCTTTTATAATTGTGATTTTTACCAGGATAGAAATAAATTGTTTAAATGTTTTGTTTCAAATCCAATCCACTTGAAATGTAAGTTGTTTGAGATGTTGAAGCTGTGATTTGAGCAATCTGCAACAAATCCTGCGCCCAGTCTCCGGCACAGAAATCCTGCAGAAAGTCCAGAGCCATTTGCGTTCTCTCGTACCTCCGTAGAATATGAGGAGGTTCTCTGGAGTTCAGTGTCTGGAAGCAGCTTCAGCGACCTCATGAATAATTAAATTCTAACAGGATCCTCCTCCGACTCTCCCTGTGGTCACAGTTAATGTTATTGGTGCTGTAATAACGATTATGATAATGAAAAACTTTAATGCTAATGACCGTCATCAGTAATGATAAAATTAGGCTGGTGTTATATTGTCACTGCTTCTCACTTCCCCTCGGGTTAATGATACATCTTCCAGTCTGGATTTATTTCACAATGACGACTGTAATTTGGGTTTTATGGGACGTGCATGTTTGAGCCTGACAGAAAACCAGACGTCAGCAGTTTTTAATATCGGCCCTGAAGAGTCGAGTCAATACAGACGCGTGTTACATCACCAAATATCACGTTCATGACAGAATTAAACAGAAAACAAATATGAGACGGAAAAATCTATTGGTTTAATGTTCACAATTATAGGTTGAGTGTGTGGACTATCTTGATGCTCTGTAACCTGAAGCCACGTTCAAGCTCTGACTCGACGCCACCACCAGGCGAAAAAAACAAGGGTCCCCTCCGTGTTATTTACTGCTCCTGCAAGCCGACTAATTCACTGGCCATCCACTCAATGAGCTGTAATGGCTTCTGGACTGTCAGCCCTTTAGAGACCCTACTGTCCGCTTCACAGTGGGTGAGACCTGGGCGGACAAACAGCGAAACAAACGATCCCTGTGGGAAATTAAGAGGACATATAATTATGAGAGGTGAACATAATAACCCATGTGAACGCTCCTGCACCAGATAAAGATGAATGTGTGTTATCTTTGATCCCTGTTCTCGTTCATCTTAATAAATGATTATCGCTATTTTTAACAACAACGAGCTTACCAAGCTACAGTGGCGCATTAAAGGCATATTATATTGAGAATGTTACAATATTATGAGAATCATTTATTAATATTACAGGAAGAAAGTCGTAATATTACAATTAATAAGTGGGAATCTTAACCAGAGTAAAGTTCTACTTTATCGAGTAAAAAAGTTGTGAGAGATGTGAAAAAAGATGTAATTTTGTAATTCTTGGAAAATTACAACTTTTTCTCTGAAACGTATTAATTCTTACCTTATACTTTATTTTTATACTTTGTTCTTGGAAAATTATGACTTTATTTTTGAAATCCCCCCCCCCTGTACCAAGCAATTCAAATAAGAAGAAAATCTCAGTGTCCATTAACATCCACCAAGATTCAAGAGCACAGAAGAAAAACACTAGTTTCATTGTTCACTGTGTTGTGTTTTTGTGAGTATATATGAAGACTCACCAACAGAGACACATCACACAGCCTCCGACGCCTGCTTCTATCAATCAGACTTGCATTGACACGCGGCGGCACAAAGTCAAACATTGTCCTCTCTCTGAATGGATTGGCAGGAGAAGCTGCGAGATTAGATTGCATCTGAGGAATGCTAATTTACCAGGAGTCTGGGTCTGGAGATGTCATGATTAAAGACTCAATTTCCCTGAGGTCAGTGTGGTGTGATGGCATATTACTACTAACTGATGGAGTGTCTCTGACATCTGCACTCTGACAGCGCGCCTGTCACAAGCGGCGGCGGCCCTTAGTTTACATGGAATGAAGAAGAGAGCTCGTGCGTCGGATTAAATATTCCTGTCAGTGTCGAGAATTAATTAATTGGCAGACTTCATGAGTAGCTGTGTTGTGTTATCAAACTGCTTATTCATGGTTTAGTGTATGGAGGTGAAGATGTGGAGGGAGAGGTCATCCTCACGAAGCAGGAAGGCCTCTATCCTGACTCAGTAGGTTTATTCTATCTAGTTTTATAGTTCTATCCAGTTTGCTGTTTGTGGCCAAGTAAGATATGGGAAATATGCGGTTTAAATCTGATTTTAAAAGTAAAAGTATGCAAGACGGTGCAGGCATTGCATTTATTTCAATATCTATTGTCATTTTTTGGTGTATTGAGAAATGCTGATTCTGCTCTACAGGCTGAATATACGAGAGGGAAGACGATAAGATGAACAGCTCATGAGATATGTGTTCCAGACCTTTGTGGAATTAGTCTGAGGATATACAGTTCTACTAGTAAAATAAAATTTAGTAATGATTCATCACTTCCTTTGAGTCAATAAAATAAATGAACAGCATTCTCAGCTGCTAACATAAAAGTGTTGATCATCAATTTACTGAACCAACGATGAAAAACCATCACACGTAGACTTTTATCTTTATTTATGGTATGTTTGACAAAATGTGATGCACTGGCACTCTACTGTGTAATTACATTTATTCACAGTTAAAATTAAGGTGATTAATTGGGATATACGTTTTTCATCAGCAACAACTTCAGTGCAAGGAATTACGTACATTAAGTACAAAAATGTGTTGGATTAATAATCTGGGTTTCATTCCCAAAACACACATCGAAATATTTACAGTCCCAAAATACTTTTCATTTAATTTCCATAAAAAATCCATTCAGTCTAACAATAAAAAACTT